TATTGTATTGTGACTGTTTGGTGGTGATGTGAATAGGAGATATAAGGTAACATTCAGCAGAGACCACGCCTGTATGGCCGAGCCATGCCACTCGATCAACTCCAGTCCATTCAATTCATTGTTCGCGCCTTCTCCATTGTTAGGTATTTCTCCGCGTTAAATATTGAATATCTATTTTCTGAGTAGTCTCGTGTTCACAGCTTTGTGGATTGTGTGGCTATTGTCCAATGCCACTACAGATTCATTTAAAAGAGCACTACTGAAAGGAGGAGGCGAAGGGACGACAGAGCAGGTGATCACAAAAATTTTGACATCCTACAGATCCACTCCGAACCCGAATGTTCCAGACGGCAAGTTCCCTGCGGAAGCCATGTCCGGAAGGCATATTCGATCCGTCTTCGATGCAATGTTGCCATCCAAATTAGTGGTTGAGTGCAGTCACGATCCAACTATCCGGAACTTCAATGTTGGCGACAAAGTTAAATCCCACATCGGGAAGAACCGATGAGAGCCGGGAGAAGCTGTGCAAAAACTGGGAAGAGTTCTATACAAAGTTTGAGGAGCTTTCAGGGCATTTCTTCGACACGCAAATCAAGTCCTTAAGGACAAAAGAACGGTGCAGACTCGATGTAACTGGCTGAACTTCCCGTTAGATTTAATCTTAGATGCACCAATGCCACAAATGCCCAGGAACACTGAAAAGATGCCTTGGACAAGGAAAACGACAAGAATAATGGGACGCCGTCGCTACCCAGTCGTCAAACTACAAGTAGATCCCAGAAAGAAATCTTGTTCGGGGGAGGTGTTGAGTCGGCTACCGGAGAACTTCAACGGAACCTCCAGAGGCTCAGAAGGAGTCGAAAGGTCCTAGTCAATCAGAGTATGATGAAACATTCGAGAATTCCAACGTGGCGTGCTACTATGGGTCGGTAGCATAATATGTCGTTAACGGATTGGCTGAAAATATGATGTTGATTCAACAGACGCCAACATCTATAAATACCCATGATTTTCTGTACAAAAATGAACCTGGGGATAAAGTGTTTTCTCTCATACTTGTGTCTTCTCTCTGGTGTTCAAGTCGCTGTGTAGTTCTAGACTGCGGGTTACTGGAATAGCTTGAAAAACTAATATAGCGTTCAGTCCACACGATGTATCAGTGGCGACGGGGATGAAAACTACAATGAATATTTCCTTGGAGCCATTAGAAGCCTATATGGTGCGTCAAGAAAAAAGTTTTGAAGAGTCACAAATTAGAATCATGGAAACTCTGATGCAGAAATTCTGCCTGTCCGAGAGAAACCCTGCTTCTAGTGAATCTCAAGTATCACATACTGATTCAGTAATCAACGCCATCCATTAATTTAATTGTGATGGTGTACCAGGTGTAACATTCGAGTCGTAGTTTAAGAAGTATGGAGATTTGTTTTATATTGATCTTTGGAAACTGGATGATGCTTCAAAAGTCAGAATACTTCTTAGAAAACTTGGGACTATGGAACATGAACACTATAGCAACTTCATTCTTCCGAAGAATCCACGAGATTTTAGTTTTGATGATACAGTCAAAACCCTGTCCCAAATCTTCGGAGAACAATCATCTCTATTCAATATCCGTTACCAATGCTTAAAATTAACGAAAGAACCAGGAGATAACTGGGTGAAGCATGCTGGAACTGTGACCCGAGAATGTGAGAGGTTCAGATTGTCGTCCATGTCTGAAGATCAGTTTAAATGCTTAGTATTTATATGTAGCCTGCGTTCACCCGAGGATGCCGATATCCGAACCAGAATCCTACGCAAACTCGAACACTGCCCTAACATGACCCTACAGGGAGTGACTACCGAGTGTCAAAGGTTAGTAAACTTGAAGCATGATACCTCAATGGTAGAAAACGGTAACTGTTTCCATAACGTCAATGCAGTCAAGAAAAAAGTTTTTCAAGGTTCCAGCACACATAATTATCGTAATAACAGCGACAAACCATCCTCTCCATGCTGGGCATGTGGAGGTTGGCACTATAAGAGGTTTTGCCCATATAAAGAACATCGTTGCAGCAAATGTCATCGGAAGGGGCATAAAGAAAACCTCTGCAGGAGAAGAAACTATAAACAACATTCCTTGGAACCTTACTCAAAGAAATACAGATATAGTGCTCCAACCAACAGAATATTGGTATCACATAACAAAGCACGAAGTTGCCGCCGAAGAAAGTACGTAACCTATGCTGCACTTCCAATAGTTGAACAAGAATTACAACGACTTCAACAAATTGGTGTTATCGAGCCTGTAAACTTCTCGAATTGGGCTGCACCAATAGTGGTGGTCAAGACGTCGAATGGAAGTGTCCGTCTATGTGCAGACTACTTCACGGGATTAAATGAAGCTCTGGAGTCCCACCAGTATCCGTTGCCCTTACTGGAAGATCTTTTCGCTAAGCTGAACGGTGGCAGATATTTTGCGAAACTGAACTTATCAGACGCATACCTACAAATCCCTGTATCTGATGAAAGCAAAGATCTCTTAGCGATCAACACACACAAACGTCTGTTCCGGTATAACCGACTACCTTTTGGGGTGAAGACAGCGCCCTCTATTGTCCAGCAAATTATGGATACCATGTTGCAAGGTATTCCAGAGGCAGCAGCTTACTTAGACGACATCATATTTATGGCAGTAGATAAAATGGACCTTCAGAAGAAACTGGACCAGGTACTAGAACGCATAGCTGATTATGGTTGTCGCCTCCGAGCGGAAAAGTGTGACTTCTATATGCAGCAAGTACGGTACCTTGGGGTTCATAATAGATAAAAACGGAAGACGACCAGACCCAGAGAACATTGAAGCAGTGAAAACAAACCCAAGGTCCGAAGGCGAAGTCGTGTTGCTGACTGTACAGAGGTGTGACGGTAGTAAGGTGTTTCCTTCAGACAACCAGCATAACGGCGATGCTGCCTTACCACAAGGAGGGGTAGGGTTAGAAAAGGTCGACCTTAAAGATGCACACTTCGCCTCACCCCACGGATATTCGTCTCCGGCAGTAAGGTCACAACAAGTACAGAGCTGACACAAAAATTACTCATAGAAAGGTCGTGCGTGATCGATCTCAAGCAGCTGTCCCTTGGACAATGCGGTCACCCCTAGTAGAGCCTTTCCACAGTGTGGGCAACCGGGAAGTGATAATGGCCTTCACATCTCTAACAGCACTCAAGACCACTATATTCATGTATATATATATATACGAACAGAACTACGTTCCCGATATGTAGTGAGTTATATGAGAAATGCACACCGTCATCCCTGATTTCTGTATTTAATTTGTTTGGGATCTACGTTCATAGGGTTGTTGAGAACATAGGCGTTGTTAAGCGGTTAGTCTCTGTAACATATTTAAGCGTCGTTATGGGCTGTTAAATTCGAATAGCTGGATAACGTATGTTGTCAAAAATCCTCCCACTTTTGCACTTGTGCTCCTTTTACCATTTAAATCTTGTTTATTAACTGGACATTATCCGATATCATGTTTGTTTTGTTCCTTATAATGCTAATCATCATCTTTCTTTGTCGCAATGTGTCACGTTATCAACCTTGCAATTGTGGATAGTTCCCTTATTATTACGTTAACATCTTCCCCATAAATGCGAAAGTGTACGGTACCTTGTGGTAGGGTTTATATTCGTGTACTTCCAACTACCGTCCTACAATTTCAAAATTTTTGAGCGATATAAGTTGAACTGTTTTAGCTATGTGTTGAAGGGTTTTTAGTGGCCCGTGGATCTGACTCCTTTTTAGATTGTATGGATGTTTGTTATCGTTTATTCTCGTATATCATCGTCGACTTAAATCGCGTTATCCAATAACGGAATTAAATAAGTCGAATAACGAGAATTGACTTGAGAATACATATATTTCGTAGATGAAGCGAATGAAACATAGCAAAGCAAAATGACACGTATGGAAGATGGCTGGGAAGCCAACTCCATTTCAAGCCGGACGTTACTCAATATTTATAGGCAGATAAAATAAACTACAGACATGTGATGAGTCATGGGACATGAAGTGTACACACATATACGCTCATATGAAAACAGTCAAGGCTAATAAGCGAATAATTAACAAGGTCAAAATATGACTTAAGTAGAATGAATAGAATGGAATGTCCAGAAACTAGAATAAGATATATTATGGGCTAAAAATAATGACTAACACTACAGGTTGTTTGTTAACTCCTGAGGATTGTATACTACTTGACTTCGACGGCACACTAACATTGGTGAGATGATACTAACTGAGACCGTATCCAAGGGACATTTGCCGTTCCATACTTCATGTGCTGTACTTGATAGCTACCCCCAGCTATGACTATCACTGACGTGTAACTTCAAGCTAGTTCATCTGAGCAGTGAATTTGATGTCATTATAACATCACACTGGAAACCGTCTGAGATTATTTCAAGACATGGAAGTAATAATACGACGATTTTAGGTGATTTTTACAAATATGGGAAGAAATGCCGAAAGCTGACATCACGTGTGTTCGGCTTACTTACTAATCCCTCAACTATATAAAGACCACATCATTAGTAAAGTGCTTTCATTTCGTAAGTTGCCAAAATTAATTGTTTTATCAACAAACTCTAGTGTTATTACTCAATTATCAATATTTTCTTTATTCATTGTCCTTTTTTGAGATGATTCGATGATTCGACAGAGCATCACACTATAGAAGTTGAGGTTTCCATTTTCATTTTGTCTGACGTTTTGCAACTACAATTAACAACAAGTTCTGAGGGTTTGTGACAAGGGCTAGATATAACAACAGTGTATGAATGAGCAGAAATAAACTAGTATGCACTAACTCGTCATAAACGTGGTGTATTTATAATATGAAAAACATAAATGAGTTTCTAGAATCGATCTTCATGATTAGGACTGAAGAATTTCGAAAGTGAACACTGTCTCTTGAGTCACATTTGTTTTATGAAATATGTAGTTTTGTGTTATTTTGTTTAAACGTCTCCGGGGTCTTTTCAGTTAAGCTGACTTTCGAAAGCAGACATAGTACGTTGTTCGTTTTCGCTGTTGTTCTCTTCGTTCAGATTCGTTGACTGACTAATTATAGCATAACCTGTATCCTCTTAGCAAGGTTTATGCAAAGAAATTCATTCTAGTTTGCACTGTTTTTCATTTTAGCATACTTTCAAATGTTTTTAGGTACAAGGAGTTCATATTCCAATGGCCGAATACTACAGCCGAGACAATAGCACACCAGTGGATCGTGGTAACATGGAGGTCTGTCACAAGTCCGAAGACAATTCTGCTACGGTTGCTGGCAAAGAGTACCATCAACCTCACTATAACCATGTAAACAATAAGGATGATTGTCATCTGATTTCTGCATCCAGTGAGAAGAGACAGTCACCTCAGACAAAATATGACTCTAGAGATAATGGTCGAAGTCGCAGTAGAAAGCGCGGACGACGTTCACATAGTCGTGACCATCGACGACGTAGTAGAAGTCGACGTCGTGATCGTAGTAGGGGACATAAATCCAAACGGCACCAGCTTCGTCATCGGTCTTCCTCTAACTCTACGTCAGCACATAAATACTGGGATGTACCACCACCTGGTTTTGAACACATCACGCCTGCTCAATATAAGGCGTTGCAAACATCAGGTCAAGTACCGGTCAATGTGTATGCCGCAGGACAAGTGCCGATGCCAGTTCATGCTCCAAACGCTCCTCTAACACTTACTACCAATGTACCGTTTGCTGGAAGTGCTGTATGTAGGCAAGCTCGTCGTCTGTATGTTGGAAACATACCGTTCACAGCGACAGAAGAGAATATGATGGAATTCTTCAACAAGCAAATGAGAGCTCAAGGTCTTATTCAGGCTGAGGGTAACCCCATAATTGCTGTGCAAATTAACATGGAGAAGAATTTTGCATTTCTCGAATTTCGTTCTGTTGACGAGACTACTCAGGGTTTGGCACTCGATGGGGTTCTATTCCAAAATCAAGCACTCAAGTTTCGCCGACCTCGCGACTACGCACCGTTGCCCGGTGTTTCTGAACAACCTTCAGTCATTGTTCCAGGAGTAGTAAGCACGGTCGTTCAGGATTCGCCACATAAGATCTTCGTTGGTGGTCTGCCTAATTATCTAAATGAAGATCAAGTTAAAGAGCTGCTTCTGAGCTTTGGTCCGTTGAAGGGATTTAATCTTGTTAAAGATGGTTCAACCGGTTTGTCGAAAGGTTACGCTTTTTGTGAGTATGTGGACGGTAATGTTACAGATCATGCATGTGCCGGTCTAAATGGTATGCAGTTAGGTGATAAGAAACTTATTGTTCAAAGAGCTAGCGTCGGAGCAAAGCACACAACAGGTGTCTTGCCCCAAAGTTTACTGCAACTACCTGGCTTGGAAGATGGCGCAGTCCAAAACACAACCGGCTCGGGCAACCTGACAATCCGTAGTGGTGGACCACCAACGGAGGTTCTGTGCCTGATGAATATGATAGAGACATCAGAGTTGGAAGATGATGAAGAGTATGAAGATATAGTTGAGGATGTCCGTGCAGAATGTAGCAAGTACGGGGTCGTACGAAGTTTAGAAATACCAAGGCCAATTCCTGGAATTGAGGTCCCTGGTGTTGGAAAAATATATGTCGAGTTCGCCAGCCTAATCGATTGCCAGAAAGCTGCAACCGCTCTAACTGGTCGAAAGTTTAACCAGCGTCTGGTCGTCACCTCATTCTTCAGTCCCAATAGTTATCACCGAAGAGAATTCTAACAGAATAGCGATTGTTATCTGTATATAAAAGAAACATAGACCGTTAAATTAATTGTATTTTATTCTGTTAGTAATATTGAATTGTGACATTTGATGATTTATTAAGAGTTTACTTATTGTATTGTGACTGTTTGGTGGTGATGTGAATAGGAGATATAAGGTAACATTCAGCAGAGACCACGCCTGTATGGCCGAGCCATGCCACTCGATCAACTCCAGTCCATTCAATTCATTGTTCGCGCCTTCTCCATTGTTAGGTATTTCTCCGCGTTAAATATTGAATATCTATTTTCTGAGTAGTCTCGTGTTCACAGCTTTGTGGATTGTGTGGCTATTGTCCAATGCCACTACAGATTCATTTAAAAGAGCACTACTGAAAGGAGGAGGCGAAGGGACGACAGAGCAGGTGATCACAAAAATTTTGACATCCTACAGATCCACTCCGAACCCGAATGTTCCAGACGGCAAGTTCCCTGCGGAAGCCATGTCCGGAAGGCATATTCGATCCGTCTTCGATGCAATGTTGCCATCCAAATTAGTGGTTGAGTGCAGTCACGATCCAACTATCCGGAACTTCAATGTTGGCGACAAAGTTAAATCCCACATCGGGAAGAACCGATGAGAGCCGGGAGAAGCTGTGCAAAAACTGGGAAGAGTTCTATACAAAGTTTGAGGAGCTTTCAGGGCATTTCTTCGACACGCAAATCAAGTCCTTAAGGACAAAAGAACGGTGCAGACTCGATGTAACTGGCTGAACTTCCCGTTAGATTTAATCTTAGATGCACCAATGCCACAAATGCCCAGGAACACTGAAAAGATGCCTTGGACAAGGAAAACGACAAGAATAATGGGACGCCGTCGCTACCCAGTCGTCAAACTACAAGTAGATCCCAGAAAGAAATCTTGTTCGGGGGAGGTGTTGAGTCGGCTACCGGAGAACTTCAACGGAACCTCCAGAGGCTCAGAAGGAGTCGAAAGGTCCTAGTCAATCAGAGTATGATGAAACATTCGAGAATTCCAACGTGGCGTGCTACTATGGGTCGGTAGCATAATATGTCGTTAACGGATTGGCTGAAAATATGATGTTGATTCAACAGACGCCAACATCTATAAATACCCATGATTTTCTGTACAAAAATGAACCTGGGGATAAAGTGTTTTCTCTCATACTTGTGTCTTCTCTCTGGTGTTCAAGTCGCTGTGTAGTTCTAGACTGCGGGTTACTGGAATAGCTTGAAAAACTAATATAGCGTTCAGTCCACACGATGTATCAGTGGCGACGGGGATGAAAACTACAATGAATATTTCCTTGGAGCCATTAGAAGCCTATATGGTGCGTCAAGAAAAAAGTTTTGAAGAGTCACAAATTAGAATCATGGAAACTCTGATGCAGAAATTCTGCCTGTCCGAGAGAAACCCTGCTTCTAGTGAATCTCAAGTATCACATACTGATTCAGTAATCAACGCCATCCATTAATTTAATTGTGATGGTGTACCAGGTGTAACATTCGAGTCGTAGTTTAAGAAGTATGGAGATTTGTTTTATATTGATCTTTGGAAACTGGATGATGCTTCAAAAGTCAGAATACTTCTTAGAAAACTTGGGACTATGGAACATGAACACTATAGCAACTTCATTCTTCCGAAGAATCCACGAGATTTTAGTTTTGATGATACAGTCAAAACCCTGTCCCAAATCTTCGGAGAACAATCATCTCTATTCAATATCCGTTACCAATGCTTAAAATTAACGAAAGAACCAGGAGATAGCTGGGTGAAGCATGCTGGAACTGTGACCCGAGAATGTGAGAGGTTCAGATTGTCGTCCATGTCTGAAGATCAGTTTAAATGCTTAGTATTTATATGTAGCCTGCGTTCACCCGAGGATGCCGATATCCGAACCAGAATCCTACGCAAACTCGAACACTGCCCTAACATGACCCTACAGGGAGTGACTACCGAGTGTCAAAGGTTAGTAAACTTGAAGCATGATACCTCAATGGTAGAAAACGGTAACTGTTTCCATAACGTCAATGCAGTCAAGAAAAAAGTTTTTCAAGGTTCCAGCACACATAATTATCGTAATAACAGCGACAAACCATCCTCTCCATGCTGGGCATGTGGAGGTTGGCACTATAAGAGGTTTTGCCCATATAAAGAACATCGTTGCAGCAAATGTCATCGGAAGGGGCATAAAGAAAACCTCTGCAGGAGAAGAAACTATAAACAACATTCCTTGGAACCTTACTCAAAGAAATACAGATATAGTGCTCCAACCAACAGAATATTGGTATCACATAACAAAGCACGAAGTTGCCGCCGAAGAAAGTACGTAACCTATGCTGCACTTCCAATAGTTGAACAAGAATTACAACGACTTCAACAAATTGGTGTTATCGAGCCTGTAAACTTCTCGAATTGGGCTGCACCAATAGTGGTGGTCAAGACGTCGAATGGAAGTGTCCGTCTATGTGCAGACTACTTCACGGGATTAAATGAAGCTCTGGAGTCCCACCAGTATCCGTTGCCCTTACTGGAAGATCTTTTCGCTAAGCTGAACGGTGGCAGATATTTTGCGAAACTGAACTTATCAGACGCATACCTACAAATCCCTGTATCTGATGAAAGCAAAGATCTCTTAGCGATCAACACACACAAACGTCTGTTCCGGTATAACCGACTACCTTTTGGGGTGAAGACAGCGCCCTCTATTGTCCAGCAAATTATGGATACCATGTTGCAAGGTATTCCAGAGGCAGCAGCTTACTTAGACGACATCATATTTATGGCAGTAGATAAAATGGACCTTCAGAAGAAACTGGACCAGGTACTAGAACGCATAGCTGATTATGGTTGTCGCCTCCGAGCGGAAAAGTGTGACTTCTATATGCAGCAAGTACGGTACCTTGGGGTTCATAATAGATAAAAACGGAAGACGACCAGACCCAGAGAACATTGAAGCAGTGAAAACAAACCCAAGGTCCGAAGGCGAAGTCGTGTTGCTGACTGTACAGAGGTGTGACGGTAGTAAGGTGTTTCCTTCAGACAACCAGCATAACGGCGATGCTGCCTTACCACAAGGAGGGGTAGGGTTAGAAAAGGTCGACCTTAAAGATGCACACTTCGCCTCACCCCACGGATATTCGTCTCCGGCAGTAAGGTCACAACAAGTACAGAGCTGACACAAAAATTACTCATAGAAAGGTCGTGCGTGATCGATCTCAAGCAGCTGTCCCTTGGACAATGCGGTCACCCCTAGTAGAGCCTTTCCACAGTGTGGGCAACCGGGAAGTGATAATGGCCTTCACATCTCTAACAGCACTCAAGACCACTATATTCATGTATATATATATATACGAACAGAACTACGTTCCCGATATGTAGTGAGTTATATGAGAAATGCACACCGTCATCCCTGATTTCTGTATTTAATTTGTTTGGGATCTACGTTCATAGGGTTGTTGAGAACATAGGCGTTGTTAAGCGGTTAGTCTCTGTAACATATTTAAGCGTCGTTATGGGCTGTTAAATTCGAATAGCTGGATAACGTATGTTGTCAAAAATCCTCCCACTTTTGCACTTGTGCTCCTTTTACCATTTAAATCTTGTTTATTAACTGGACATTATCCGATATCATGTTTGTTTTGTTCCTTATAATGCTAATCATCATCTTTCTTTGTCGCAATGTGTCACGTTATCAACCTTGCAATTGTGGATAGTTCCCTTATTATTACGTTAACATCTTCCCCATAAATGCGAAAGTGTACGGTACCTTGTGGTAGGGTTTATATTCGTGTACTTCCAACTACCGTCCTACAATTTCAAAATTTTTGAGCGATATAAGTTGAACTGTTTTAGCTATGTGTTGAAGGGTTTTTAGTGGCCCGTGGATCTGACTCCTTTTTAGATTGTATGGATGTTTGTTATCGTTTATTCTCGTATATCATCGTCGACTTAAATCGCGTTATCCAATAACGGAATTAAATAAGTCGAATAACGAGAATTGACTTGAGAATACATATATTTCGTAGATGAAGCGAATGAAACATAGCAAAGCAAAATGACACGTATGGAAGATGGCTGGGAAGCCAACTCCATTTCAAGCCGGACGTTACTCAATATTTATAGGCAGATAAAATAAACTACAGACATGTGATGAGTCATGGGACATGAAGTGTACACACATATACGCTCATATGAAAACAGTCAAGGCTAATAAGCGAATAATTAACAAGGTCAAAATATGACTTAAGTAGAATGAATAGAATGGAATGTCCAGAAACTAGAATAAGATATATTATGGGCTAAAAATAATGACTAACACTACAGGTTGTTTGTTAACTCCTGAGGATTGTATACTACTTGACTTCGACGGCACACTAACATTGGTGAGATGATACTAACTGAGACCGTATCCAAGGGACATTTGCCGTTCCATACTTCATGTGCTGTACTTGATAGCTACCCCCAGCTATGACTATCACTGACGTGTAACTTCAAGCTAGTTCATCTGAGCAGTGAATTTGATGTCATTATAACATCACACTGGAAACCGTCTGAGATTATTTCAAGACATGGAAGTAATAATACGACGATTTTAGGTGATTTTTACAAATATGGGAAGAAATGCCGAAAGCTGACATCACGTGTGTTCGGCTTACTTACTAATCCCTCAACTATATAAAGACCACATCATTAGTAAAGTGCTTTCATTTCGTAAGTTGCCAAAATTAATTGTTTTATCAACAAACTCTAGTGTTATTACTCAATTATCAATATTTTCTTTATTCATTGTCCTTTTTTGAGATGATTCGATGATTCGACAGAGCATCACACTATAGAAGTTGAGGTTTCCATTTTCATTTTGTCTGACGTTTTGCAACTACAATTAACAACAAGTTCTGAGGGTTTGTGACAAGGGCTAGATATAACAACAGTGTATGAATGAGCAGAAATAAACTAGTATGCACTAACTCGTCATAAACGTGGTGTATTTATAATATGAAAAACATAAATGAGTTTCTAGAATCGATCTTCATGATTAGGACTGAAGAATTTCGAAAGTGAACACTGTCTCTTGAGTCACATTTGTTTTATGAAATATGTAGTTTTGTGTTATTTTGTTTAAACGTCTCCGGGGTCTTTTCAGTTAAGCTGACTTTCGAAAGCAGACATAGTACGTTGTTCGTTTTCGCTGTTGTTCTCTTCGTTCAGATTCGTTGACTGACTAATTATAGCATAACCTGTATCCTCTTAGCAAGGTTTATGCAAAGAAATTCATTCTAGTTTGCACTGTTTTTCATTTTAGCATACTTTCAAATGTTTTTAGGTACAAGGAGTTCATATTCCAATGGCCGAATACTACAGCCGAGACAATAGCACACCAGTGGATCGTGGTAACATGGAGGTCTGTCACAAGTCCGAAGACAATTCTGCTACGGTTGCTGGCAAAGAGTACCATCAACCTCACTATAACCATGTAAACAATAAGGATGATTGTCATCTGATTTCTGCATCCAGTGAGAAGAGACAGTCACCTCAGACAAAATATGACTCTAGAGATAATGGTCGAAGTCGCAGTAGAAAGCGCGGACGACGTTCACATAGTCGTGACCATCGACGACGTAGTAGAAGTCGACGTCGTGATCGTAGTAGGGGACATAAATCCAAACGGCACCAGCTTCGTCATCGGTCTTCCTCTAACTCTACGTCAGCACATAAATACTGGGATGTACCACCACCTGGTTTTGAACACATCACGCCTGCTCAATATAAAGCGTTGCAAACATCAGGTCAAGTACCGGTCAATGTGTATGCCGCAGGACAAGTGCCGATGCCAGTTCATGCTCCAAACGCTCCTCTAACACTTACTACCAATGTACCGTTTGCTGGAAGTGCTGTATGTAGGCAAGCTCGTCGTCTGTATGTTGGAAACATACCGTTCACAGCGACAGAAGAGAATATGATGGAATTCTTCAACAAGCAAATGAGAGCTCAAGGTCTTATTCAGGCTGAGGGTAACCCCATAATTGCTGTGCAAATTAACATGGAGAAGAATTTTGCATTTCTCGAATTTCGTTCTGTTGACGAGACTACTCAGGGTTTGGCACTCGATGGGGTTCTATTCCAAAATCAAGCACTCAAGCTTCGCCGACCTCGCGACTACGCACCGTTGCCCGGTGTTTCTGAACAACCTTCAGTCATTGTTCCAGGAGTAGTAAGCACGGTCGTTCAGGATTCGCCACATAAGATCTTCGTTGGTGGTCTGCCTAATTATCTAAATGAAGATCAAGTTAAAGAGCTGCTTCTGAGCTTTGGTCCGTTGAAGGGATTTAATCTTGTTAAAGATGGTTCAACCGGTTTGTCGAAAGGTTACGCTTTTTGTGAGTATGTGGACGGTAATGTTACAGATCATGCATGTGCCGGTCTAAATGGTATGCAGTTAGGTGATAAGAAACTTATTGTTCAAAGAGCTAGCGTCGGAGCAAAGCACACAACAGGTGTCTTGCCCCAAAGTTTACTGCAACTACCTGGCTTGGAAGATGGCGCAGTCCAAAACACAACCGGCTCGGGCAACCTGACAATCCGTAGTGGTGGACCACCAACGGAGGTTCTGTGCCTGATGAATATGATAGAGACATCAGAGTTGGAAGATGATGAAGAGTATGAAGATATAGTTGAGGATGTCCGTGCAGAATGTAGCAAGTACGGGGTCGTACGAAGTTTAGAAATACCAAGGCCAATTCCTGGAATTGAGGTCCCTGGTGTTGGAAAAATATATGTCGAGTTCGCCAGCCTAATCGATTGCCAGAAAGCTGCAACCGCTCTAACTGGTCGAAAGTTTAACCAGCGTCTGGTCGTCACCTCATTCTTCAGTCCCAATAGTTATCACCGAAGAGAATTCTAACAGACTAGCGATTGTTATCTGTATATAAAAGAAACATAGACCGTTAAATTAATTGTATTTTATTCTGTTAGTAATACTGAATTGTGACATTTGATGATTTATTAAGAGTTTACTTATTGTATTGTGACTGTTTGGTTGCGATGTAATAAAGCGGACATAAACATATTAAGAGGTTGGTTGTGATTGTTATTTTGTCATGAGATATTTTTCCCTCAATTAACGAATGTTGGTTTGAATTTACAGTGATAAGCACGTTGTTGATGAGATAAGCTGACAAGCTGTAGACAGAATGAGCACTAATGATTGGTAGAATGGTTGTGGTCGACCTGTGATTGATATAAGGGTTAAAGAAGCGAAAATGAATGGTGTAAGCGTAGTGCACGTGAATGGTTAAAGTAGTGTGAGACCAGTAGAAATTGTATGCTACATAGGTGAAGCGTGATGCAGTTGAGGGTCACGTGAAGGCGTAGGTTAAGAGTGAGAGGATGTGTATGATTGGTTGTTGTGTGAGTGTATGTGAAATGTTGATGTGGGTAGTGGTGTTTGTGGTTGCGTAGATTGATGATGCTGATGTGGAATGTAGGAGATGTTAGTGCGCTTCCACTCGACTTGTAATTTATTGTTATTAGTGTTAATGTATATAAGAATTGTGAGTGTGATGAGGCGTTGTTGTTGAGTGTGTGATGAGATGTGGATAGGGATTGCGAAATGTATTGCTAGTGATATTGAATTGTGACATTTGATGATTTATTAAGAGTTTACTTATTGTATTGTGACTGTTTGGTTGCGATGTAATAAAGCGGACATAAACATATTAAGAGGTTGGTTGTGATTGTTATTTTGTCATGAGATATTTTTCCCTCAATTAACGAATGTTGGTTTGAATTTACAGTGATAAGCACGTTGTTGATGAGATAAGCTGACAAGCTGTAGACAGAATGAGCACTAATGATTGGTAGAATGGTTGTGGTCGACCTGTGATTGATATAAGGGTTAAAGAAGCGAAAATGAATGGTGTAAGCGTAGTGCACGTGAATGGTTAAAGTAGTGTGAGACCAGTAGAAATTGTATGCTACATAGGTGAAGCGTGATGCAGTTGAGGGTCACGTGAAGGCGTAGGTTAAGAGTGAGAGGATGTGTATGATTGGTTGTTGTGTGAGTGTATGTGAAATGTTGATGTGGGTAGTGGTGTTTGTGGTTGCGTAGATTGATGATGCTGATGTGGAATGAAGGAGATGTTAGTGCGCTTCCACTCGACTTGTAATTTATTGTTATTAGTGTTAATGTATATAAGAATTGTGAGTGTGATGAGGCGTTGTTGTTGAGTGTGTGATGAGATGTGGATAGGGATTGCGAAATGTATTGCTAGTGATATTGAATTGTGACATTTGATGATTTATTAAGAGTTTACTTATTGTATTGTGACTGTTTGGTTGCGATGTAATAAAGCGGACATAAACATATTAAGAGGTTGGTTGTGATTGTTATTTTGTCATGAGATATTTTTCCCTCAATTAACGAATGTTGGTTTGAATTTACAGTGATAAGCACGTTGTTGATGAGATAAGCTGACAAGCTGTAGACAGAATGAGCACTAATGATTGGTAGAATGGTTGTGGTCGACCTGTGATTGATATAAGGGTTAAAGAAGCGAAAATGAATGGTGTAAGCGTAGTGCATGTGAATGGTTAAAGTAGTGTGAGACCAGTAGAAATTGTATGCTACATAGGTGAAGCGTGATGCAGTTGAGGGTCACGTGAAGGCGTAGGTTAAGAGTGAGAGGATGTGTATGATTGGTTGTTGTGTGAGTGTATGTGAAATGTTGATGTGGGTAGTGGTGTTTGTGGTTGCGTAGATTGATGATGCTGATGTGGAATGTAGGAGATGTTAGTGCGCTTCCACTCGACTTGTAATTTATTGTTATTAGTGTTAATGTATATAAGAATTGTGAGTGTGATGAGGCGTTGTTGTTGAGTGTGTGATGAGATGTGGATAGGGATTGCGAAATGTATTGCTAGTGATATTGAATTGTGACATTTGATGATTTATTAAGAGTTTACTTATTGTATTGTGACTGTTTGGTTGCGATGTAATAAAGCGGACATAAACATATTAAGAGGTTGGTTGTGATTGTTATTTTGTCATGAGATATTTTTCCCTCAATTAACGAATGTTGGTTTGAATTTACAGTGATAAGCACGTTGTTGATGAGATAAGCTGACAAGCTGTAGACAGAATGAGCACTAATGATTGGTAGAATGGTTGTGGTCGACCTGTGATTGATATAAGGGTTAAAGAAGCGAAAATGAATGGTGTAAGCGTAGTGCACGTGAATGGTTAAAGTAGTGTGAGACCAGTAGAAATTGTATGCTACATAGGTGAAGCGTGATGCAGTTGAGGGTCACGTGAAGGCGTAGATTAAGAGTGAGAGGATGTGTATGATTGGTTGTTGTGTGAGTGTATGTGAAATGTTGATGTGGGTAGTGGTGTTGGTGGTTGCGTAGATTGATGATGCTGATGTGGAATGAAGGAGATGTTAGTGCGCTTCCACTCGACTTGTAATTTATTGTTATTAGTGTTAATGTATATAAGAATTGTGAGTGTGATGAGGCGTTGTTGTTGAGTGTGTGATGAGATGTGGATAGGGATTGCGAAATGTATTGCTAGTGATATTGAATTGTGACATTTGATGATTTATTAAGAGTTTACTTATTGTATTGTGACTGTTTGGTTGCGATGTAATAAAGCGGACATAAACATATTAAGAGGTTGGTTGTGATTGTTATTTTGTCATGAGATATTTTTCCCTCAATTAACGAATGTTGGTTTGAATTTACAGTGATAAGCACGTTGTTGATGAGATAAGCTGACAAGCTGTAGACAGAATGAGCACTAATGATTGGTAGAATGGTTGTGGTCGACCTGTGATTGATATAAGGGTTAAAGAAGCGAAAATGAATGGTGTAAGCGTAGTGCATGTGAATGGTTAAAGTAGTGTGAGACCAGTAGAAATTGTATGCTACATAGGTGAAGCGTGATGCAGTTGAGGGTCACGTGAAGGCGTAGGTTAAGAGTGAGAGGATGTGTATGATTGGTTGTTGTGTGAGTGTATGTGAAATGTTGATGTGGGTAGTGGTGTTGGTGGTTGCGTAGATTGATGATGCTGATGTGGAATGAAGGAGATGTTAGTGCGCTTCCACTCGACTTGTAATTTATTGTTATTAGTGTTAATGTATATAAGAATTGTGAGTGTGATGAGGCGTTGTTGTTGAGTGTGTGATGAGATGTGGATAGGGATTGCGAAATGTATTGCTAGTGATATTGAATTGTGACATTTGATGATTTATTAAGAGTTTACTTATTGTATTGTGACTGTTTGGTTGCGATGTAATAAAGCGGACATAAACATATTAAGAGGTTGGTTGTGATTGTTATTTTGTCATGAGATATTTTTCCCTCAATTAACGAATGTTGGTTTGAATTTACAGTGATAAGCACGTTGTTGATGAGATAAGCTGACAAGCTGTAGACAGAATGAGCACTAATGATTGGTAGAATGGTTGTGGTCGACCTGTGATTGATATAAGGGTTAAAGAAGCGAAAATGAATGGTGTAAGCGTAGTGCACGTGAATGGTTAAAGTAGTGTGAGACCAGTAGAAATTGTATGCTACATAGGTGAAGCGTGATGCAGTTGAGGGTCACGTGAAGGCGTAGGTTAAGAGTGAGAGGATGTGTATGATTGGTTGTTGTGTGAGTGTATGTGAAATGTTGATGTGGGTAGTGGTGTTGGTGGTTGCGTAGATTGATGATGCTGATGTGGACTGTAGGAGATGTTAGTGCGCTTCCACTCGACTTGTAATTTATTGTTATTAGTGTTAATGTATATAAGAATTGTGAGTGTGATGAGGCGTTGTTGTTGAGTGTGTGATGAGATGTGGATAGGGATTGCGAAATGTATTGCTAGTGATATTGAATTGTGACATTTGATGATTTATTAAGAGTTTACTTATTGTATTGTGACTGTTTGGTTGCGATGTAATAAAGCGGACATAAACATATTAAGAGGTTGGTTGTGATTGTTATTTTGTCATGAGATATTTTTCCCTCAATTAACGAATGTTGGTTTGAATTTACAGTGATAAGCACGTTGTTGATGAGATAAGCTGACAAGCTGTAGACAGAATGAGCACTAATGATTGGTAGAATGGTTGTGGTCGACCTGTGATTGATATAAGGGTTAAAGAAGCGAAAATGAATGGTGTAAGCGTAGTGCATGTGAATGGTTAAAGTAGTGTGAGACCAGTAGAAATTGTATGCTACATAGGTGAAGCGTGATGCAGTTGAGGGTCACGTGAAGGCGTAGATTAAGAGTGAGAGGATGTGTATGATTGGTTGTTGTGTGAGTGTATGTGAAATGTTGATGTGGGTAGTGGTGTTGGTGGTTGCGTAGATTGATGATGCTGATGTGGACTGTAGGAGATGTTAGTGCGCTTCCACTCGACTTGTAATTTATTGTTATTAGTGTTAATGTATATAAGAATTGTGAGTGTGATGAGGCGTTGTTGTTGAGTGTGTGATGAGATGTGGATAGGGATTGCGAAATGTATTGCTAGTGATATTGAATTGTGACATTTGATGATTTATTAAGAGTTTACTTATTGTATTGTGACTGTTTGGTTGCGATGTAATAAAGCGGACATAAACATATTAAGAGGTTGGTTGTGATTGTTATTTTGTCATGAGATATTTTTCCCTCAATTAACGAATGTTGGTTTGAATTTACAGTGATAAGCACGTTGTTGATGAGATAAGCTGACAAGCTGTAGACAGAATGAGCACTAATGATTGGTAGAATGGTTGTGGTCGACCTGTGATTGATATAAGGGTTAAAGAAGCGAAAATGAATGGTGTAAGCGTAGTGCATGTGAATGGTTAAAGTAGTGTGAGACCAGTAGAAATTGTATGCTACATAGGTGAAGCGTGATGCAGTTGAGGGTCACGTGAAGGCGTAGGTTAAGAGTGAGAGGATGTGTATGATTGGTTGTTGTGTGAGTGTATGTGAAATGTTGATGTGGGTAGTGGTGTTGGTGGTTGCGTAGATTGATGATGCTGATGTGGAATGAAGGAGATGTTAGTGCGCTTCCACTCGACTTGTAATTTATTGTTATTAGTGTTAA